AGTGGCCAACATCCCGTTTTTGGGCAAGGTGTTGGAGCGGGTGGTGGCGGGACAACTCCAAGCACTCTTGGAGGAAACTGATTATCTGGACCCATTTCAGTCCGGCTTCAGACCCGGGTACGACACTGAATCTGCCTTGGTCGCCCTGTACGATGACCTGTGCAGGGAGAAGGACAGGGGGAGTGCGTCCCTGTTGGTTCTTCTGGACCTCTCGGCGGCTTTCGATACCATCGGCCATGGTATCCTCCTGGATAGGCTAGTGGGATTGGGGGTCGGAGGCACTGCTTTGCAGTGGTTCCGCTCCTATCTCAATGGCCGGTTCCAGAAGGTGGTGCTGGGGGACTATGGCTCTGCACCATGGCAGCTACGCCATGGAGTTCCGCAGGGCTCCATTTTGTCCCCTTTGCTGTTTAACATCTATATGAAACCGCTGGGAGAGGTCATCAGGAGGTGTGGGCTGTGGAATCACCAGTACGCTGATGATACCCAGCTCTACCTCTCGTTTTCCACCAATCCAGGTGAGGCGGTGGCTGTACTGAACCGGTGCCTGGCCGAGGTAATGGGCTGGATGAGGGCCAATAAACTGAAGCTCAATCCAGACAAGACGGAGGTCCTGTTGGTTGGCGGATTGGGCTTCGGAGAGGGTGGATTTGACCTGGTCCTGAATGGGGTTGCACTCCCTCTTAGGGACAAGGTCCGCAGCCTGGGAGTGCTCCTCGACCCGGAGCTTTCACTGGAAGCTCAGGTGACAGCGATGGCGAGGAGCACCTTCCTTCAGCTTCGGCTGATCCATCAGCTGCGCCCCTACCTGGAGTACGACTGCCTGGCGACGGTGACACACGCGCTGGTGACTTCCCGCCTAGACTTCTGCAACATGCTCTACGTGGGGCTACCCTTGAAGACGGTCCGAACACTTCAATTGGTGCAAAATAGAGCTGCCAGGCTGCTGTCGGGGACTGGGCGTTGTGTTCACATGACTCCAGTCCTCCGTCAGCTCCACTGGCTTCCCATTGAAGTCTGGGCCCAATTCAAGGTGTTGGTGATGACCTATAAAGCCCTAAACGGCTTGGGTCCTGGTTACCTGAAGGAGCGCTTACATCCATATACGCCCGCCCGCCCCTTGAGATCTACGGGAGAGGCCCTTCTCAGGGAACCCTCCGTGAAGGAAATTAGGAGGGTAGGTACTCGGAGGAGGGCTTTCTCTGCAGTGGCGCCCAATCTATGGAATGCGCTCCCCAGAGAGATCCGCCTGGTGCCCTCGTTATTTGTTTTACAACGAATAAATTTATTTATGGCCAGGACGTCTCCAATTATATTGTATTGTTTTATATTGTTGTTATTTATTTATTGTTGTAAGCCACCCCAAGGCTCCAGCAAATGGGGCAGCATAGAAGCTTTCTAAACAAACAAACAAACAAGAGCTGCAGCAAAATCGTAATGAAGATCTACATAGCATTAAGGTAAAAAACGATATATGCAGTGTTATCTTCATTTTAGATGTCCCAAGGGTTTTGTGGCTCCCGGTGTTTTCTTTTGTGTGGGAAACGGGTCCAAATGGCTCTTTGAGTGTTAAAGGTCGCCGACCCCTGGGCTAGGCAGACTCCCAGGGAGGGGGTGCCACGAGCTGGGTGCCACGGGAGAAAGGAGGAAAGGTGTCCCTCACCGTAAGCAGGACCCGCTGAAGCTGACCCAGAGGGCCGGGCAGCTATGAGGAGGAGACAGCCCTGAAGGTAACCAAGCTTGGACATTTCATGACGAAGAGACGCAAAGAAAGCAGGGGGCGACCCATCCCTGCTGAAGGATGTTCCCGGGGGGGGGCTGAATGCCACCCCCAAAAAGACCCTGCTCCTCATGCTCATTTGTCCAACAGCCCAAGGGGCCAACACAGAAAGGAGGACTGAATCTTGACCCCCCCAGAGTCCCTAAAGCTGCCCTTTCCAAACGGACGCTCTGCAGACGTGTTGAGGGCAAAGCAAGGCTGGTCCCACACTCAGTGGGCCCCCAGCCTCAGTGGCTCCATCACTGCATTCCCAGCTGCTCCTGCCCCCCCCCCCCCCCATCATCCTGGCTGCTGCTGGCTTGCTGGTGGGCAGGGAGCACAGGCCCAAGGCGGCCCGGCCTGGGCATCGGCTCCAGAGGGGCCAGAGCGAGACGCCGCTGGGGAAGAGGCGGCGCAGTGGCAGGCCTCTTCCCAGGGGCTCTGCCCCTGACTTCAATTCCCAGCAGTCCCAGCCTGCACAGCAGCTTTCAAACAGCTCCTCTGCCGTCAGAAGGTAAGCGAAGCTCCTGGGTCGGCCTTCACTTGAAGCTGCTTGTGGCTTGAAGAGCAAAGCCGGCCGGCAAGGGATGTTTCTTATCATCACTACCATTAATAATAAAGACAACATTCCGTGCATCTGTGTTCCTTTAAAATGAGAATGGGGGTCTCCTTGGCCAGCCAGCAACTGAGGGGCCACTGGGGTCTGCCCCCACTGCTGCCCAGGAAGAACGTTATGGCACAGGGAGGCCAGCCTGGCCTGCCATCAGAGAAGGAACAGCTGCTGGGAGCCTCGCTGGCCCTCCAGCGCCGGCAGGAGCACCGCACAAAACTCTGAATCGAAGAGCTGGTGTGGGGGGCTTGCCTTTTCCTCCTCCCTCCCGGCGCACTTTCCTCTTGCGAGTGGCCCTTGGACCGCACCCCGAAGGCAAGCAAGGACTGCCCTGCCCTGTGAAAGGGCAGGGGGGAGAAAAGCACCCCGGGAGAAGCGGCCAGGCCTTTGCCGGCGCCCCCTTTCTCCGCCTGCCCTCCCGCGGTGGGCCGAAGCCTCGCCGCCGCGCCACCGACTAAGTATGCCTCGGCGCCGGAGTCCGCGCCCCTTGCCCGGCAACAGGTGACGCCGCCGCGCGGAGGCGCCGCATTGGCCAGCTTGAAGGGCCGCTCCGCGGAGCCGACCCGGTGGGAGGGGCGCCTCTCCCGGGGCTCAGAAGGCGCTCCGGAGCCGGGCGGGCGATGGGGCGCGGGCGGTGCGCGGCGGGGCTTGGGGCCCTGGCTGTGCTCTGCGCGGCGGCGGCGGCGGCGGCGACCGCCCCCCAAGGTACGTCCGGATGCGCGTGTCTACAGGGCCGTGCGCGCGCGCATGTGGGAGGGGGACCCACGTTTGGGTGGGGGGGTCCTTGCGTCTCCCCGGCTTCCCCCCTGCTTCCCCCCTCTGCCCTATTTTTGCCTTTCCCCAGCGCTGGCGTGTCGCCCACTAGGCTCGCCCCCTCCCCGCTTTCCCCTGGCGAAGCTCCCAGATGCTTTAAACATCTGCCTGTCGGGCAGGTATCCAACCGGTGCAGCTCTTGGCGGATTGGACGCGGTCAGACCGAAGCCCACCTGGGTGGCATTGTGTGTAAATCCACGAAATCTGGAGGCGGGACTCCGCATGCCTTCAGATCTCATGGATGGGGGTGGTCTTTTGAATTCCTAAACCGCCTTTGGTTCCTCTCCGCCAGCCCTAAGACCAACGAGTTTGCCAACTTGAGATCAAGAGATCAGTCATCCGCTCTGACGCCTCTCCCTTTTCCTGCTTCAAGCATTTCCAGGTTTCACTTTTGCATCTGAACCCGGGCAGGGAACGCCTTCAGAGCCCTGCCACTCCTGGGTGCACCTTAATAGCGCTGTGCTTTGGAGAGCCTGACGGTTCCAGCGCTTCTGCACCTCGCTCCCCCCCCCCCATGCCCTTTTCACCTCCTTTTAATCGTAATTTCCCGGCTGTGCCTCCAAAGAGACCGAGGCAGGTTAGATGCTCTTCCTCCTCCCCATTTATCCCTAAAACAAGCCTTTGAGGTAAGCTCCGCTTCATGCCGGCTGCTCAAAGTCACCCAGCAAAGCTTCATGGCAGTACGGAGACTAGAATTCCCCTCTACTAACCCCAACCGTGATGCAAACTAACCCTGACATGCTCCTTTTTCATACCAGTGGTATTAATAAGAATTGTTATTATTTTATGAATTGCATTGCTATTGTTTTAAAACGGTCCATCGAATAATTCCTGTGGCCCAAAACACAGTGGCCACAGCCCTAAACACACTCTGCAAAAGTTAATAAGAAGTTGGGCCGGAGAAACTTTGCTCTGCATTTTGTGTTTATAGTCCTGCTTTCGCTCTCTCTACTGTTTTCCTTACTGCATTTTCAATATGGGGGTTTTATTCTTCTATGCACTGTTGCAGGTACTCCTGCCCTGAAAGGCAAGCCTGAAATATTTTCTTTAAATACCACTATCCAGAATCCACCTTAGTTGCAGCTGGAGTCTGGGCCCCTTCAAGGAGGGTGGTCTGCTCATGCTCAGAGACACCCTGGCTGGGGCTTGCATCCGTTTCGAGTCTACCCTCCTTCTGAAAGGGTTCAGAGGGACCTCACTGGCTGCGGGATGTGCGAGGTGTGTGCCGGAGGTCACCTTTATCCCGCGGGGAGACACTTCCAGGCAGTGGGATCGGGGCCTCCACCACCAGGGAAGGGAAGGGAAGGGAAGGGAAGGAATGGGACACTAGGCAAAACGGAGGCCACCCCTGGGTCCATGCCTTCTCACAGGCAGCCGACAGAGAAGCCCCCTGAATTTATTTAGTCCACACTGAACTAGCAAATGGGGATCATGGATCGGATCTGCCGTTCTCAGAGCCATGCTGCGAGCTTTCCTGGCTTGAGAAAGGGGAAGGGGAAGTCTGATCTCAGCCCATGCCCTTCCCCCTCTGTGCCAGTCCCTTCGGGCTCAGACCAAACAGGGACCCCCCAGCCTCCCAACCCAGAGGCGTACAGTCCCTTCCAGGTGGAGGGCGGAAGGGGCGTGGAGGCGAGTGGGCAAGTCATCTCAGTAGCCGATTTCCTCACAGCATTTTGGACAGGGAGGGGGCAGGACACTGCCGGGACACCCCGGATGGGGTGCTGCAGGGCCTGGTCTGCTCCCGCCTCCGCCTGCTGGAAGGCCCCCTCCCCGCTCTCCCAGGTTGCCCTTGCGACCGACCTCGGAGGCATGGTTCTCTCTGCACCGGCTGCGAAGGGCCGGGCGTGCGCATCCCCGGGTGCAGGGCCGAGCGCTTCTTCCACAGGATCCTCTCTCAGCCTGGGTGCCCTCAGGGGCGTGGAATGGCCAGCTTCGGAGCATGTCAGATTTCCCAGCGAGTTTGAGCGGACGCCGCCATTCCCAGACAAGCGCGGCTCAGAGCATTTTAAACCAGCGGCTGCCATGCCGGAGCTCCACACGGTCCAAATCCCCCCACGCAGTGGGGTCACTCGCCCGCCCAGCGCTGCCCGGACCTTGGGGCTCACCCACGTCCCTTCCCGGACGTGGGGAATGCAGCCGAGCCACCGCCTCGCGGCCCGTGGGCAAGAGCTCCGTCGACGCGCGTTGACCCCTCTCCTTCCTTTCTTCCCCCTCCCGCCTTTCCCCAGAGGAGCCTGCGCACCTGTTTTCCGAGGTGTTCTTTTGCCAGAGAGACCCCCCATTTTCCGGCCTGGCCCAGACTCTGGACGATGACGAGCTGTTCTGGTTTGACTTTCCGGGATCCACCTGGCACCCGCGCCTGCCCAGTTTCCAGCCGGAGGTGCAGAACCGCACCTCCATCGATAAAATCGGGAAGCAGCGGGACTTCTGCAACGAGGTCCTAACCCTCCTCACCAACTTTTCAGACACATACATCGGCATGCCCGAAGCAAAAGGTAAACGCTTGCCTCACCTTTGCGTTTTAATGGGCAGGTAAATGAAATCTGCATAAATTTGCAAGAAGAGCCTGCTGTCCCTTCCCTCGGTTCTTAGAAGGCGCTCTTCTGTCGCCGTGCTGGGGTGGTCCGTGGGGGCAGATTGTCCGCCAGGCGTGCAGGCGCTTGTATTAAGCTAAGGAACCCTGGAGCACCTTTGTTTAAAAGTGCCCGTCGCCCGGTTCCTCCGCAGGCAGGCCCTTTTAGCCGTGCCAGCCGGGTTTAATCCTCCACGCCAATTCAGGGGGCAGCTCCCACGCCGGTGCCCACCCTGCCTGCCCCGGGGACTGGCCCAGGCTGGAAGGCCCCCCCCGCAGGACTTCCAGAGCGCCCCACCGAGAAGCTGCGGACGCAGGGGGAGGGAGCCCCCGTGGGCCAGGGCGCTGCAGGCTGCCCTCTGAACCGGGAGGAGTCTAAGCAGAGGCAGAGAAAGCGAAAGCGCTGTGGGGCATGGCCGAGGGGAAGTGTGTGGGGGCAGAGAAGAGGAAGCCGGCGAGGAGGCGTGCCCACCGCGCGGGTCCTCCGGCCGCAGGGTCTGTCTCGCGCAGCTTCCCGTGGTGCCGCCATTCTGTGCCGCCCGCCCCGAGACGCTGCCCGGTGGCTTCGAGCAGGCGGTGGCAGGCCTCCCCGGCCGTTCCCGTGCACAGCGCGCCTGCTCCCTTCCAGCCCCTGTGCCGGCAGCCCTGCCTCTGACGCACTGCAGACCCTCCGGCAGCATGGGGGACTCCTCGCTCAGGGAGCAGAAGGAGGAGGACCAACCCCAGCGGGCTGGAAGGATGCTCTGGGCACGTCCCGGTTTGGCCTCGGGACAGGCCTCTGGCAGCATGGAGCCATCCCTGAGTTGCACAGCGGTGGCACCTGGTGTGTCGTGAGCAGCACCATGATTGCCAAGTGGGGCCACATCCCCCCGTCGGCCTGAAGGGGCCAGGATGGCGGAGAGGCAGGGGAGCCGTCTCCAAAGACGGAAGCGCTGCCAGGCTGGACTGGGACCAAGGGCCGAGCGTGAGGGGCCCCTGGCACGGAGACCGCTCGGCTGTAGCTCAGGCTCCTTGGAGTGCGGGGAGGGATGGGCCAGCCCCCCGCCAGGGAGCCGACAGCAGCTGCATGGGATGACCCGGCGGCCCTTCCCAGCCCCGCAAGTGTGGCAGCCGATCCGTACAGATGCCAAACCTTTTCGCCTCTGCTGCATTCCGCCTGGGGCAACCAGGACAGGCATGACTAATTTCTGCAAAGCAATTGCGAAATATTCCCCCGCAGACCCATCTGCACGGAAATCTCAAGATTCTCCAAGTTGGGCCCCGTCCACCTTCTGTGTGACGTCTTTGGGAGGGGGGTCCAAGGTGACATACTCTACCTTGACTTTAGCAAAGCTTTCCACATGGTGCCCCAGGACATTCTGATAAGCAAATTAGCAAAAAGTGGACTAGAAGGAAAAACTCTCAGGTGGATCCAAAATTGGCTGCTAAGTCGGACACAAAGAGAGCTCATCAAGGGCACCTTCTCAAACTGGAGGGAGGTCACCGGTGGGGGAGAGCACAGGATCCAGTACTGGGCCCAGTGCTTTTCAACACCTTTATTAATGATTTGGATGAGGAAGTACAAGGAAAGTATTCAGATTTGCAGATGATACGAAACTGAGTGGAATAACAAACACCCTGGAAAGCAGAATGAAGATCCAGGGTGATCTTGATAAACTTGAACACTGGGGTGAAAGCAACAGAATGTGATTCAACAGGGACAAGTCCTCCACCTATGTAGGAAAAAGAAACCAAAAGTATAGATACAATTACGATTACGTGGCTCAACAGAACTGAAAAAGAAAAAGATCTCAGAGTCATTATGGGCCACAGGCTAAATATGAGCCGACAATGCAATGCAGCCGCCAAAAGGGCAAATGCTATTTTGGGATGCATTAGCAGAAGTATTACTTCCAAATCACAAGAAGGAGTAGTTCCCCTATACTCCTCACTAGTCAGACCTCACCTGGAGTCCTGTGTCCCGTTCTGGGCACTCAGATTTAAGAGGCAGGAAAGTTCGAAAGGGTCCGGAGGAGGGGAAGAAAAAGGATGCAGGGTTTGGAAACGCTGCCCTGTGGGGAGAGACCCTCAGAGGGAACGGGGCCTGTCCAGCCTTGGGAAGAGAAGACGGAGGGGGGACAGGGGATCCTCTCAGGCTGTCGCAGAGCGGGAGGCCAAGGTCTCCTCTTGCTGATCCCAGGGCGCAGGACTCGGAAGGGTCATTTGAGGTTGTGGCAGCCCAGGTTCAGGCTGAACACGGGGAAAAGCTTCCTCGGGGTCACAGCAACACGGCAGTGGGGCCAGCTGCCAGGAGAGGTGGGGGCTCCCCCGCACTGGAGGCATTCAAAAGAAACGGGGCAGCCCTCTGAGTGGGATGGTGCGACTGGGCGTCCTGCAGCAGCAGCGGGGTGGGCTCGATGGCCTGCATGGCCCGACTGCGCTGGTCTGTGAGTCGAGGACGGTGCGGCCCACTTGCCCCCCGTATCCCTTCTCCCACAGGTATCCCCCAGGTGGAGATCTTCACCCTGCAGCCCCTCCAGCTGGGCAAGCCCAACACCCTGGTCTGCTCCGTGACCAACGTCTTCCCACCGTCGGCCACCATCTCCTGGCAGCATCAGGACAAGCCGGTGGACTTGGGGGTGACCACCACTCAGATCTACCCCATCCAGACGCTGGACTTCCAGATCTTCTCCTACCTGGAGGTGACCCCCCAGGAGCGAGACGTCTACAGCTGCACCGTCAAGACCCCCCGTAGCAAGTTCAGCAGCATGGCCTTCTGGGGTGAGTCCCCGCCTCCCGCAGCCCCCCCCCATGTCCCTCGGCCCCGGTCCTCAGACTGACCCCCCCCGCCCTGCTTGTGTCTCCCTCCCACAGTCCCCAAGGACCCCATTGCCTCGCAACTCCTGGAAGATGTCCTGTGCGGCCTCGGCTGCGGGGTGGGGATCCTCTTCACCGTCATGGGGCTGGCCCTGATCGCCCTGGCCCTCCGGTTCAGGAGAGCAGGTAGGCCCGGGTCCTCCCGGGGGAGAGTCGCACATGGCCGGAGACGGCCGCACCAGCCCCGGCGCGCCCCCAGCAGCTCTTGGCGGCCCCGGCCCCCGTCCCGCAGGGGCACTGGGGCTCCATCACACCCCCCGCCGCGTCCTTCGAGGGGGGCTTGCAGGCGATGCTGAGGGGGCCGTGGGACATGAGGAGAACGCCCTGCCCCCTCACGTCGCACCGGCCACCAGCCCCCTCTTGCCACAGAAGGGCTGGCCTGGCGAGGGCACAGGGCGGATGGGTGGAGAGCCCCCCTCTGGGCACGGGGTGGGCATGATGGATCCCGGGTCCCCTCGTGCCTTTTAGGAGGCCCCCTGAGGGGGGAGGTGTAACTGGCGTAACACTGAGAGCCAGTGTGGTGTAGTGGTTAAGAGCATGGGACTGGGATTCAGAGGATCCGGGTTCGAGTCCCCGCTCAGCCATGGAGCCAACTGGGTGACTCTGGGCCAGTCACAGACTCTCAGCCCAACCTACCTCACAGGGTTGTTGTTGTGGGGATAAAATGGAGGAGGAGAATGATGTAAGCTGCCTTGGGCCCTTTGTAGGAAAAAGGCAGGATATAAATTGCAATATAAATAAATAACTGGGAGCCCTGCGCAGAGCAGGGGCCGGACCCAGTGGCTTTGGAGGCCCCTTTGACTCTGCTCTTCTCGGATTCTTGTACTGGAAGCCAGCCAAGAATTTATTTCACGCTTTTATTTACTTATTTAAAGCTTTTCTATACCGTCCAACGACTAGCATCTCGGGACGGTCTTACAGTAAAAGCAGCATAAAACGGCATGAAGCCCAGCATCCAGATAATGCCAATCAGATAGAGCCCGCATTAAAACCTAACCAAACCTTAAAATAATGGGAAAATAGAAAGGTGAATCGAAAAAGCATAGGTGGAAAAGCTGGGAGTGGGAGCTGTGGACGCCTGGCGAGATGCATCCCCACCACCCCGGCCCAGAACAGAGCACATGCTTCCCCAAGCAGGCCCCCTCTGGGGGATGATGGGGGAGGTAGGGCCCCAAAGCCCAGGAGTCCAAGTGGGGCAAGGCTGGTGCAGCCCTCTGCCCAGGCCCCTTGGGCCACGAGGTGCCGCTGGGCAGAGGCCCGGCAGGTGGGAGGGCACCCCAGCTCTACGCCCGGCACTCGGGAGCCCCCTTTGCTGGCCCGGCAGGCAGGCGTGGGGCTCCCAGGCCTCGGGGCCCCTTGAGCAGCTGCAGGAGGGGAGGACCCCCTCGAAGGGAGTCAGTCCCAGAGGTGCTCAGAGGAGTTGGGGGGCTGTTGCCGCCGCTTTCCGTTCGTGCCGCCGCTTTGATCCTTCCCTTTTCCTCCCCCAGCCGGATCTCCCTGACCAACGTCATGAGGACCCCCCTCGAGAAGAGGCATCGTTTCCACTGCCCCACACCTCCCCCCCTGCCCCCCCCCACCCCCGGGTGGTCCAGCAAGCCGGGAACTCGCCCAGCCGGTGGGGCAATTCTGTGGACGAGCAACAGAGCCCCCCCCCCGCCACCGCCGCCCACCATCCCACCTGCACCGGGCCCAGCCAGCCGCTTCGCTCCCCGGTCCTGATGCGGCCCCACGAGGGGTCTGCGAGAGAAGCCCCCCCCCCTGCCCTGCCGCACTCCTCAACCCCTGGCTGTGCCCCCCACAGCCCCGCCGGCCCCTCTTTACTGCAGGGGTGGCCCGATCCGGGCCGTGATGCGCCCACACACAGGAGGGGTTCGCCAGAAGCCCAGACAGGGTGATGGGGCGGGGGGGGGTACAGGGCGGGCGCCAGGCCGAGTGTCTGGAGCAGTCCTGCAGAACCCCCGCCTGGCGTGTCCTTTCAGCCCCTCAGCCCCATGGAGCAGAGGCCTGGCGTAATCCCTCCCTCGTGTGCCGTGGGGGGGGGGTGGTACTCCCCCAGGTGGCCTTCCTTACCTGCAGCCGGCCCCTTCCTCATCCGTCTGGGATCTGTGGGCCGAATTTTGCAGGGAGGTGCAGGCACCCAGAGCCGCCCCCCCACCAGGTCAGTCAGAAGCTCTGAATCCACGACGGTCCTGCAGAGGTTTAGAAGCAGAAAGCCGCTGCCGGGTCTCACCGGGAGGAGAGCTGTGCTTGGATCTATCCCTAAATTACCTGGGAGAAGGCCCACCCAGCTCAGCGGGACTTGCCCCGAGTAGACATGCCCAGGAGCACTCTGGCTTCCTGCGGAGAACTGGATGGGATGCCGGGACACAGAAAGGAGACTAGAGTTAAGATCTGGGGACATTCAGAAGACCTCTGACGGGGCAGGGGGGCTCCTGACGGCCCTCCAAGCAGTAGCGGGCGTCGGAGTGCAGCCAGTCTCGAGTCCCTTGGACAAGGAGGGCGAGAAATGTCACCTAGTTTTCCAGGCAGAAATCTGTCCCCTTCGGTGCCTCCATCTGCACCAAGCACTGCAAGTGCCCATTGGGGGGTGGGGGTGGGGAAGGGGACATGGCCTCTCTTTTCCAGCCCCCCTCCCGTGCCCAGTTCTGCATGCAGTCCCAGCCACCAGAGAGGACCAGTCAGGTTTGGTGGTGCTGGTGGTGAGGAACTCCGTGACCGATGGCTTCCTCCGCAAAAATATCTGTGGGCGTGCAATGAGGAAGCTCCCCTCCATCTCTCTTTTTCCTTCACGGACGGTCATGTGACTTCCCCCCCCCACCTGCCAGGTGAAGAGGTACAGTCCTGGGGCAGGAGAGGACTGTACCACGTGGTTCTTTGGAATGGGCACCTTGGCCCTCTCTGCTCCCAAGTGTGATGCAGAGTTGAGCCTTTCAACGTGGTGGTGAAGAAACATAGAAACAGGGCGAGGCAGAAGGGGCCTCCGGGCCATCTAGTCTGACCCCGGCTCCAGCCGGCTCTGCTCATAGAAACATAGAAGCAGAGCGAGTCAGAAGGGGCCTCCTGGGCCATCTAGTCTGACCCCGGCTCCAGCCAGCTCTGCTCATAGAAACATAGAAGCAGAGCGAGTCAGAAGGGGCCTCCTGGGCCATCTAGTCTGACCCCGGCTCCAGCCGGCTCCGCTCATAGAAACATAGAAGCAGAGCGAGTCAGAAGGGTCTCCCGGGCCATCTAGTCTGACCCCAGCTCCAGTTGGCTCCGCTCAAAGAAGCAGAGTGAGGCAGAAGGGGCCTCCTGGGCCACCTAGTCTGACCCCGGCTCCAGCCAGCTCTGCTCATAGAAACATAGAAGCAGAGCGAGTCAGAAGGGGCCTCCTGGGCCATCTAGTCTGACCCCGGCTCCAGCCGGCTCTGCTCATAGAAACATAGAAGCAGAGCGATTCAGAAGGGGCCTCCGGGCCATCTAGTCTGACCCCGGCTCCAGCCAGCTCTGCTCATAGAAACATAGAAGCAGAGTGAGGCAGAAGGGGCCTCTGGGCCATCTAGTCTGACCCTGGCTCCAGCCGGCTCTGCTCGTAGAAACAGAGTGAGGCAGAAGGGGTCTCCGGGCCATCTAGTCTGACCCCCACCTCCAGCCAGCCGCACATTCACGTGCCCGGCGAGCACGGAGACGTCTGGTGAGATGTCGGCAGGACGCCATCCCGCCCCAGCAGACAGAACGGCCAGAGCCGCCGTTCGCTTCATTTTTGCCCCTTGCTTTCTACGCCAGGCAGCATCAATGCCCCGTATTCTGTTCCTGGCCTCGTGTGGGGGGCTCATCAGGCCGCTGAGAGGGTTTCCCCACGGGGAGGGGCTCCCTTTGAGGGAAGGATACCCTCTCCTGACGTCAGGCAGCCACCCGTTGCTGATGCACTGCTCGCTTTCATCTGAGCCCGTTAACCCACAGTAGGACTGTGCCACTCGGCCCTGCCACTGGGGCCGCTCCGCACTCCGGCGTGGGAGCCCCTCCTCCTGGTACAGCCCCACCCCCAGTGGGAGCCGCAGTCCCCAGACCGGCCGCTGCAGGGAGAGGCCGCCCAGGATGATTCCTGCCCAATCAGGCGGCCATCAAAGGCAGGCAAGCTGTGGGGGCCAAAGTGGATGAGGCCTCACAGAGAAGGGACGTGGGCAGGGGGAGACAGGGCTCTCTGGGCCTGCGGGCATGCCAAGGCGCCGGACCTCTTTGCTGCACTGATCATTTGCAATCAGAAACTCCAATTCCACTTTCCTTTATGGCTTTTTTGTACCAGATGCTGCCCAATAAAACTCCTTTGCAGAGAGGGAAACGATCCAGCCCGGAGATGGTTCATCGGTGTGTGTTTCCCGCCATTCTCTGTTGGGGGAGGGGGGAGCCCCAAAACAATCCAGAAAATGTGTCAGGGCTGCTCATCTCTGCCTGTCCTGGGAGCCTGAACCACCCAGCGGGCGGGGGGGGGGGAACTGGGACACCCCCCGTCAGGTCAGAGCCGGGGAAGGCGCTTCTCTCAATGCCTTCTGGCTGATGGGGGGGTTGTGCCCACGGTGGGTGGGGGCAGAACCAAAGACAGGAGGGACCACCCCTTCCCTCCTTCCCCTCCTTTTTCCATAAGAAACTTTGGGGGACAGGGGAGGAGCCTGGCATCTGGAGAAGGGCGAGTGCCCCCTGCTTTGAGAAGGGGAAAACAGAACCCGGGAAATGCAGGCCGGTCAGTCTGACATCAATCCCTGGGGAAATTCTGGAGCAGGTTAGAAAGCAGGCCCTCTGCAAACTCCTTGGAAGCCGCACAGCAATCGCCAGAAGCAGCTCGGATTCCTCCGGAACAAGCCCTGCCGGCCGGATCTGGTCTGGTCTCTTTTGGGCTGGGAAGCCTCCCTCGTGGACGGTGGGGATCCACGGACCTCGCCCACCGACTCCGCAACGCCTTCGGCAACGGGCCCCCGGCCCCCGGACTGGCAAGCCGGCCAAGGGGGCCCCGTGGGGCCACCCGCAGGCGGGCGCAGGGCTGGCGGCAGGATCGGCCGGGGGAGCGCTCCTCGGGGCCGCTCCTCAGACTGGGAGGGCGGCCGGCAGCACCGGGGGCTCTGCCTGGGCCCAGGGCGCTTGGGTCTCTACGAATGGTCTGGGTGAGGAGGTGTGGGAGCAACGGTCAGATCTGCGGGCGACACAAGCTGGCTGGGATGGCGAACGTGGAAGACGGAGCGAGATGCCGGGTGGCGGGAACGCTGGCCGGAGGCGGGAGAACGGATGAAGCCCAGCAGGGACAAACGCCACGCTGCACACCGGCCACGAGGCCGAAGGCACGGGAGCCAGAGGGGGGGGGGGTGCTTGAGCCAGCAAGGTGAGCGTGGAATCCCGTGAGGGGCTGATTCCTTTCTGTTCAGTACTAGCTGTGCCCTTCTAGTGTCCTGCAACCAGCTTTGGGCTCCACAGCTGAAGGAAGATGCAGACAAACTGGGAAATGTTCAGAGGAGTTGCTGAGGAGCTGGGTGGGAGCTGGACTTGCACCCGTCCTGCTCGAGGGGTCCCGTGGGCAGCCGGCTTCCACCGCGTGTGTGGAGTGCTGGAAGAGAGGGACCTCGAGTCCGATCCAGCGGGGTTTTCCTCGGGTTCTGATGTTCTCAACAACAAATAGCTGGAGCACTTCTCTTCAGAGGAGCAGCCAGAAGAGAGCGGCTGAATGATCTGGGATTATTTAGTTTAAGAGAAAGGCAATGAAGGGGAGAGGAGTTTAAAATAATGGCTGGTGTGGAGAAAGTGGCGAGAGATCCTGATTTCCTGCACTCATAAGACTAGAACCCGAGGCGGTCACCTGATGGGGTGGGAGATTCAGACCAGATGGAAGTGTGGCCGGGTTCACACGGTGCCTGGTTAAACTACGGAACTCACTTCCACAAGATTCACAGATGCCTGCCAGTTTGGATGGCATTAAAAGGGCTTGGATGCGTTCAAGGGGAGGAGAATGTGATCTGTGCCTTCTAGTCCTCATGATTCCACGGGACTTCCGGTATCGGACAGAGGTGGCCTTCCCGTGCAGAGCAGCTGCTGAGGAAGAGGGGTGGGAGGGTACTGCTGCTCTCCTGTCTGCCTGTGGCGTCCTCTGCGCGAGAGAGTGATGGGCTGGATGGTTCCAGCGCAGTCGCTGGGGCCCTCCCTACGTCTTTGCTGAGGGAGACAGAGCCCCTGTCACCCCTCCTCACGGAACTCAGACCAGCTGCCAAGACCCCAGGAGCCCCCCTTTCCTTCCCCACAACAACCCTGTGAGGCAGGCCAGGCTGGAAAGCAGCGCCCGGGCCAAGAGCAACTCCAGCGCTCCGGTGGTCGGTCGGAGCTGGGAGAATCGCCCTTCCCTCCCTCCCCTTCCGGCCAGCTACGAGCGCCCCTGGGGCCACCTGGAGCCGCCAGGGCGCGGGCTGCAGCCCCGGCGTCCCTCTGGGCCCCCGCTCGCAGCGGTGCGCCGAACCGGGCCCTGCACCAGCCGGAGGAGCCCCGGTCCGAGCCCGGCGCCCGGGCGCTCTGCGCGGCGCCAGGCGCTGTTTCCCTCTCGGGCTGCGGCGCGGGGCCTCTCCACCCGGCGACTGCTGACGCGCAGCAGGCCGCCCTCTCCATTGGCTCCCCGTGGGGCGGGCGGGGACTTCTGGCAGGGGCAACCGGGGCCCCGGGGCGCCCCGGACTCGCGCGGGCGGCGGCGGCGGCGGCGGCAGGCGTCTCCGACTCCCTCCAGCCCGCCGGGCGCCTGCAGGAGCCGCTGGAGGAGACCGAGGCGCGGCCGGGCGGAGGGAGCGGGGCAGAGCCAGGGGCTGCCGTGCTCCGGGGGCGCGGGCGCACGGCCTGACGAGCGGCCCGGGGGCGAGCGCTGTCCGCCTCGGCTTGCGCCGCTCCGGGGCGAGCGCAGAATGGGGCCCTCCCGCCTGGCGTGCTGGGTCCTGTGCCTGGCGCTGACTCACCTGCGAGCAGGTAGGGCGGACCGGCTTCCTTGGCCGTTTGAATCGAGGCGCTGTTGGGGCTGCTGGCCGTGAGAAAGCGCCTCGGCCCACCCCCCCCACCCCGGGCTTCCCCCTTCCCGCCTCCCCGCCGCCGCCTTCCCGCCGCGGCAGCAGCACTGCCGAGTGACCGGGGCCGCCGGCCACGGCGAGGAGCGGCTGCCCGATGGCCCCGGAAGGTTGTGCGGTGCAACGCATTGAACCGGTCGATCCGGGCACGGCAGCCGCTGGTCACCGGTCCCTGCGGTGGAGCCTCTGCGTCCAGCAGCAGTCCACCTGTCAATACCAGTTGTGTGTGTGTGTGGGGGGGCATCTGCGTGGGGGGCGCTAATGCCCAGCGCAGGACCCAGGGTGCATTTCCCTGTCTGGGCTGAGGCCACAGAAGTGGTCACGCGGCGGGGGCTGCCCCTCGCTGCCCAGGAAGCGAAGCCACCCTCACTTACCCCACGGAAGGCGCGCTGGGTGTCTTCTGGGGGGGGGGGAGGGAAAGGGGAACCCTCCCCCCCAAGCGGGCAACCGCTTCCTTCCCCTCCCCTCCCCTCCCCTCCCCGGAACGGACGATCTCGACTGCAGTCTGCGGAGCCCGGCCTCTCGCGGCTGTCGCGGCGGGATCCGGCGTGGCCCGGTGGTCAGAGCGCCACGCCGGGACGGGACGGGACGGGGCGCCCAGGCTGAAATCCTCACTTGGCCGCGAAGCTCGCGGGGTGCCTTTGGCCAATCATGGATCGTCCCCTAAGCGGCTGGCCAGGGACGATGGGCGAGGTAGTCCAGCGGGACGGGAGAGCACCGGGCTGGGCAAGGTCGCCCTGAACCGGCGCGCCCGCCCTTTACCGCGCCAGAGTGTGTGGGGCGCGCGTGCGGCGCTTGGGGGCGAGCCCGCCTCGAGGGGGGCCCAGGAAGCTGGAAGGACCGCGAGCGGGAGGCCGACGGGCGAGTGCGCGGCGAAGGGGCGGCGCGGGCCCGGGCGCGGGAAGTTGGCTGGCTGAAACGTCTCGCAGGGGGACGGGGGAGCCGGGCGCCGACGGAGAGGTCCTGCCGCGCCCTCCGGCTTCGCCGTCCCAGTCCAGGGCGGGACGGGGCTGGCCCATCCCGTGTTTGGTCCCTCTGCCTTCTTCCTCCTTCGCCTCGGCGGTCTCCCCGGGTGCCGGGCCGCCTCCCGAGGGCCCGAAGCGCTGCAGCCTCCGCCCCGCCTCCGGGGAGAGCGCTGGCTCTGCTCGCTCCCGGGCCCTCGCTCGCCTCGCTGCCGCGCGGGGACTCGCCCAGCCCTCCTCCGGCCCGACGTCCCGCACGCCTCCCTCCCCTCCCTGCCCGGCCTGCACACCCATCCCCGGGGCCGGGAAGCCAGAGCGCGGACGATCTTGGCCGCCCCGGGGAGGGAAGGGCGCCTCTCCGCCGCGCGCTCTCCACGAGGCATCCTTGCGCCCCTCGGTCCCGTCCCAACGTCCCCCTGGCTGGGCGAGCGGCGCTCGCGTCCCGGAGCCGCTTCGCCGCCCGTCGCCGGCCTCCAGAGCCCTGCCGGGGCCGCCCAGCAGCGGGGCGCACCGCGCTCGGCCCCGCTGCAGCCGCTCCCATCGCCGCGGCGGGGGCGCCGGGTGGCGGGGCCGAGCGCGGACGCCCGGGACGGACCCCGCCGCAGGGATGCCCGGCGGCGGAGGGCGCGCTGACCACGCTCCGCCTCCTCCCGCCGCGCAGGGGGCTTCGTGGTGCACATGCAGACGGACTGCCCGCTCTCCGCCGACGGCCGCGCCCTCTGGGCCAACTGGACGCTGTCCTTCAACAAAGTGCCCTTCGTGTGCTACGACAATGAGGACCGCGCCTTCGTGCCCTGCGGCATGGGGGCCACCTTCCCCTGGAACTACACCACGGTGCCCATCGCCGCCGTCCTGCAGAGAGCGTTCCCGCCGACGGGCCAGCTGCAGCGCGCCTGCCAGGAGCAGATCCAGTCGCTGTGGGGACGCAGCGGCGACCGACGCAGTGAGTCCCGCGGGCCGGCGGGGCGCGGGTGGGGCGCAGGACCGCGGCCTGCCGCCGAGGGGCCCGGCAGGCAGCGGGGCAGCGGGAGAGAAGTCCGGGGCGCGGGCAGCCCGCGTCGCTGGCCGCCGCTTTGGAGAGCTCGCTTTCCAGGGCCGCTTCCCGCAGCAAAAGCTTTGCTCCCCGGGAGGAGGGCGCGCAGCCGCGCGCGGAGCAACCCCAGCCGCTGCCGGCCCTGACGGGGCGCGCGTTTCCCTCCAGCCGGACGGGCAACCCGCGTCCCCGCCAGCGGCGCGGCTGAGAGCGCGGCGCGGCGCGGGGAAAGGGGGATGCCAGCAGCTGGGGTAGCGCCCACGCGGGGCCCTCCGCGCTGCCCCTCGGCATGGGTCGCCAGGAGAGCCCCCGAGGTCCTCAGCACCGGCCCGCTGCTTGATGGGAGAACTTGCGCACCCCCACGCGGAGTCTGGAAGACCTCCAGAGCGGGGAGCCCACGTCTGCCCGCACCCCAAGCGCGCCTCTTCTGACGTCAGGACGAAACCGGCCCTCCTCCTGCAGAAGAGGCCGCTGAGACCCCCCCCCCCAGCTCGGTGCGAAGCCTCCCCCCACCCCCGTTCTTTTCCAGGCATGGAAACGAGGCTGGGGGGCCCATCGTGGCCCCCCTGAAGGGATACCTCGGGTGACCGGCTTTGGACAGGGAATCCATTCCCGCCCCGCTTCGATGGGAGCGGCTCCTGGGAGGCAAAGGCACATTTTGGAGGGGGGAAGCAAAAGACCACAGCTCGATTCTCACGCTGGAATGGTTCTACGCTGGTTCTGCAAAGCCCCCAAACCCAGGGGGGGACCGCCCTCCGGATGGAGCCCCACACCCTGGGCAGACTTCCCGTCTCTTTGCACCAAACGCCTGCAGCAGCGCCCCATAGGGGGCTGGGAGTGGGGCCAGCCGTGGGAACCATGCTGATGCATGGGGGGGGGGGGCAGGTGCCGGCTACCTGTCAGCTGAAGCTCCCCTCTGGAGAACGACTAGGCAGGGAGGCAGCCGGCCTCAGGGTGCGCCCCCTCGTGGGAGGAGCTGCATGGGGGGGGGCAGGTGGACTAGAAGGCCTTCGGGGACCCCTCCGGCTCGGGCCAGATCCAAGGGGGCCTCGCGAAGGTCCCCTCCTCCGGGAACGCCACTCCTGGGCTCGCTTTGGGGCCTGCCTCGGGAACAGGCTGGGGGTGGGCAGCGGGAACGAGTCCCCGCGACTCTGGCCGCCTCAGTGCTCCCCCTCTCCCCCCAGCCCCGCCGATGGCCCGCATCGTCCCCGTCACCCCGCGCAACACGGTGGCACCCGTCATGCTGGCCTGCCTCGTGTGGGGCTTCTACCCGCAAGAGGTGGGCATCTCCTGGCTGCGGAACGGGGCCCCGGTGCAGGCCGGCAGAGGCACCCCCACCCTCTCCAGCAACGGGGACTGGACCTACCAAGCCCAGCTGACGCTCCCCGTCGACCCCCGCCTTGGGGGGACCTACAGCTGCCGTGTGATCCACGCCAGCCTTCCCGCGCCCCTCACCGTGGACTGGGGTGAGAGGGGCGAGCAGCATGGGGGCGGCGGCTTTGGGGCTTGCTCTGTGGGGGGCTGGGGGGAGGGGCAATTCTTCAGTTTGACCCCCCCCCAATGGTGTCTCTTCCCTGGCCACGTGCCTCTGTCCATGTGCCAAGTCTCCATCTCACTCTCCCGCCACCAAGTCCCGAGAAGGAGACCTTGGCATTTCCGGGGTACAGAGGAAAAGCTTTCAGGATCCCCCAAGTTTAGGAATGAGGCAGTGGGGATGGGACAATGGGAGCCCCCGCCCCCTGAGGCAAGGGGGCTTTGCAGGGAGGGGCTTCCAGCCACCGCGCAGCGAACGGAGGCTTTGGACACGCTTCCTCCTGCGAAAAGGGTCCCAGGAACACGCGGGAATTCATTTCCCCGGAGACTGGGGTGGGTGAGGACGTGTGGGGGGAGCGGGGCAGCCAGCATCCTGTGCAGGGGCGTCTCGGCGGGCCCGCTGTGAGGAGACTCTCCACTGGGTTGGGGACCTACCCTGATTCCTGTGTTCCTCTCCCCCCTCCACCCCCCGCAGTGGTGCCAGGGCTGCAGCCAGAGGTGAAGGCCAAGATCGGCGCCTCTGCGGCAGTGCTGGGCGTGGGCATCGTGGTTCTCATCACCGGGTTGATCTTCTGGAGCAAGCGGATGCCAGAAGGTGAGAGCTCGTGCGGTGGGATGGGAAGCCCCTTCGTGAGGGGCGGGCCCGCTCCCCACGGATTGGGCCCCGGGGGACGGAAGCCGTGGGGGAAGCGTGCCGGTTCTGGCCGAGGGCTTGTATGACGGTGCTTGCCCTCCTCTCACCTCGACACTTCCTGTGCACGGAAGGCAAGCGTGTCCGAGAGAACACAGAGCCCGGAGAAGCTACCCTGCTGCATGCAGGGAATTTTGTGGGAGGAGGGAGTCTTCCTTCCTTCGTAGAAGCCCCTTCCCTCGTGAGGACAGCCGGGCCTCTGGCACGGGGGGGGCGAAAAGGGGGGGAACTCTCCTTTGAAGTGCAGACAAAGGCTGCGTTGGGCAGCTTGAGCGCGGCTGCCGGAGGGCGAGAACACGAGAGCTCGGTCTGTCCTGCCAGGCTGCATGTCCCGGCACGCTGGTGCGCACGAACACCCCCCCCCCTTCTGGAGTACCTGCCCAGCATTCCTTGAGGTCCGGGCCAAAGACGGGCTCTCCTTGCAGCCCACAAGGGCTACCGCCGTCCCTTTCCGGGAGCCCAGGTGGTCTGGATGGAGAGGAGCACAACCCGTCCTCTGGCAGGGCAGCTGCACAGCCGGGGCGGAGCGCGGATGCTGAGCTGGGTGCTCCCGCTGGGCGGTTCCCGCACCCCCAAACTGAGCCCAAGCATGATGGGTTGTGCCCCTCCTGGCCCTCGGTACCTCCCCGTCCCCAGCGTTTCTGTGCCCAGCCCCGCCACAGCATGAAAGCCGGCTTGGCCCCCACTCCAGAAGGAGGGCTGTCTAGCGGTTCTGGACTACAACCCCCATCACCCCCAAGTCTGAGAAACCTGCGGCACAGCAGAGCTTTAAAAACTGAGTCGTCCCCCCAATACCTGTTTTTTAAAAAATTACTTAAAATCTAAAGGAAGCAAAACGGTGGATGTCTTAAGTAATAAAAGACGATTGAAAGTTGCCCAGGGGGACACGCACCGGCATCCCTCACAGCTGCCCCCCGACCGGATGTGAAGAGGGGCTTTGTGGGGTCGTTGTGCACCTGCCAGAGTGCTTCGGGGACAGCAGGCAGATTCCCGTTCTCGAGGGGGGCGCTCTCCTTGTGGAGCCAGCAGCTGGGCCTCCAAGTGCACAAGCAGGGGGCAGGCTGGGCCCCCTGGGAGCCTCCGAGCTTCCCCAGCTGCGCCCGCAAAAGGTCAGCTCCTGGTGGAAAACTCTGGGCGACAGGCCGCTTTCTGCACTTCTGCTGGACTGTGGCCCCGGAAACAATCCTGGAAGTCAAAGGGTTCACCACCCGACTTACGGGGCACCTCTCCCTCTCCACCAAGCAAGGGTGTCTCCTGTTCCCGGCTCCCTGCCGATAAATGCAGGGTTGAATTGGGGAAATGGCCTGCGCCCCGGCACCTGTTGCTGCAGCCTGGCCACCCCAGCAGCCTCCGGAGGGGGTGGGCTCCCGTTCCCGGCTCCCTGCCCAGGGCTGGGCCAGGGGGGCACGGCTGCATGCCATTCCAGGCACGGGGCTCCAGGGGGAAGGGAGCCTGGCTGTGGGGCAACCCGGCCCAAAGCTTTGCCAGCCCGGCTGCGGTCCTTCGCCTGGCGAGGGGAGCCGGTTCTGCAGCTGCCTCAGCCTGGGCCCCCCAGGGAAAAAGAGGCTCCTCTGCATGTCGTGAGCGGAGCCGGCTGGAGCCGGGGTCAGACTAATTAGCCTGGGAGACCCCTTCTGCCTCGCTCTGTTTCTATGTTTCTATGAGCAGAGCCGGCTGGAGCCGGGGTCAGACTAGATGGCCTGGGAGACCCCTTCTGCCTCGCCCTGTTTCCATGTTTCTATGAGCAGAGCCGGCTGGAGCCGGGGTCAGACAAGATGGTCTGGGAGGCCCCTTCTGCCTCGCTCTGTTTCTATGTTTCTATGAGCAGAGCCGGCTGGAGCCGGGGTCAGACTAGATGGCCTGGGAGACCCCTTCTGCCTCGCCCTGTTTCCATGTTTCTATGAGCAGA